CCTTTTTTCTTTTTAAGCATGTCTAGTATTTCATTAAGTGCCCTCTAAATCCCGATCCCATAAATTCTTATTTTAATTTAATTTAATTTTATTTATTTTTTAATAGTTTTTGGATCATTGATTCGTACTGATCCGAATCACCGATAAAGCGATCCGATACGCATCTATGGGTGAATGTTCTACCCCACCAATTCATATTTTGAAATACTGATCCCCGTCTTTTGAGATGCGACCATTTGGAGGTTCTATTAGGGAGGATGTATAGCTATACCTTATATTTTAACTATTTAATATTTTATCCATATTTTTTAATTAATTTCAAATATCTCAATCACTCTTTTGACTAAAATTTAAATAGCCCATCAAAATGACACATCATGAATGCGTTTTAAACGTATCCAATTACAACTCGTTAAAACATTAAATAATGTAATGGTTAGGTGTAATTGGATACTTTTCCCCTAACATTCCCCATAAGAATCTAAGATCATAAGATTATATGCTCCCACATCTAAGATCATAAGATTATATGCTCCTGTGGGAGCATTTTATACAGTTCACTCCTATGTGTAAAACCCTGTCTAGGAATACTTTGAGGATCCCAATAATGGGGACGTAGCCAGCTCAACCAAGCAGCCAATCTCAATTAAAGAAAAAAAAAAGAAATCTATGAAAACTTGACAATTTCGAAAATTCACGGTCCAAAAATGCTTTTCAAGACACTATTTTCGAAACTTTGAAATCTATTTTTTCTCATGTCCATGCATGATTAATTTGAAGATATTTGAGAAACAACCTTTTCTAGTGACATTTTTGAATTTGATTGTTTAGAACCTTGGCTCTATATAAACCTTTTCCTTAGTTTACTTGCCTAACCATACCACACCTTTAGTCAAACATCCAACAACCTCACCTCGCAAACCAAGAAATCACAATCAATAAAAGCATCCATTCTCATTTCATTTCAGTTTACAGTGCTCAATAAATCAACCTTCCATAAAGAAACCATGGCCTCTCCTGAAGTGAAGCTATTTGGGATTTGGGCAAGCTCATTTTGCGTTAGAATTGAGTTAGTTCTCAAGCTCAAAGGCATAGCATGTGAATATACTGAGGAAGACTTGAGCAACAAGAGCCAGCTTCTCTTGCAACTCAACCCCATTCACAAGAAGGTCCCTGTGCTTTTGCACAACGGGACGGCAGTTGTCGAATCATGTATAATTCTCTAATATATCAATGAGACGTGGCCGGGGTCTCTGTTGCTATTGTCGAAAGACCCTTATCAGAAAGCCCTTGTTAGATTTTGGGCTGATTTCTTCGATAAAACAGTGACGAAGGTCTGACACACTTCTTGGTTTAGTGACATGAAGATCTGACCCACTTCTAATGCCCAAATGCTTTTCAAAGTTCCATAAATCAGCCATTTAAGTCGATTTCTCTCTTGATGATAAATATCCTCATCTTTTTTAATACGTAATCAAGATTTTTGGGCTAAAAAAAAGAAGTTTTTTATTTCCATTTGTATCTGAAGGTTTCCCCCTTATTTGTTTGTTTTCCATATTGTCTTGCAAAGTTAACTTCTTCCTCTATTTATATTTGGCTTCAAATGGTATTATTTGAACTCATCTATAGAATGAGTTATTTATTATTACAACACTCCATAATTACATCATGGCAATGATTTTGTATTCGAGATTGTATACAAAGAGACCATTTACCTTTAGTATAAGGTAGTCACAATTACATGTAACGACGTGAAAAATATCTGATAGCTTGGGTGTGTCACAAAATTCGAGAACATTTCTTTTGAACTTTAAACTTGGTCAATGGAATAAATGTAGCTACCCAATTTAACATCCTATGGTCAAATTTAATGTGACCCCCTCGTGCCAAAGATAAATGGTCTCATTGTATACCTTTTCTAAATATGATGTGAATGTGAAATATCTTTATCCAAGAGCACATATAGACGGCTCCTGATGGAGCAATACCATACACTTAGTCCCAAGGGTAAAAGCCTAGTTAAGAAGATTTTTGGAAGTAAAACGTTGGGATACCCATTAGGATTCCAAACGAATATTTAAAAAACAGAAGGTATATTTTTATTTCCTAAATACTTAGATCGCATTCTTTGCTCAATATTAGGGCATTATTTTTTCTGGTGTGCATATATTTTCCACTAATTGCGGAAAAACTATAACTTCCACTATTGTTCATATCCACTTGCTAAGGATTTAACTTGATCAAGTTTTCTTTGTGTTTTCTCTATTTTAGTTGGTGATATGTTGCGACAACATTCTTGCATCAGAAGGCAAAGAGCAAGAGAAGGCAGTCACTGAGTTCACAAATAGCCTTGAGGTGCTAGACCAAGGCCTTCTGAAGGACTTCAGAGGGGGACTACCAGTTTTTAATGGTGAGAGACGAGGTTTCTCAGACCTAGTTCTAAGTTGTAGCTCAGGTTGGCACAAAGTCCTTGAAGAGATTGCAGGAGTAAAGGTCATTGAAGCTGAGAGGAACCCTACACTTTATTCATGGAGATCACATTTCTTTGAACTCAATGTTGTGAAGGACACTTTTCCTAGCCATGAAAAGCTGCTCTCCTATGCCAAAAACAAAAGGGAGAAGGTCCTTCACATTGACACAAGCCTAGCATGAGAATTGCATCTTGGAGTAGCTTCGTTTGTCCTTGTTTATGGCTTTAATTTTTCATGTAATGGATTGTTACTAAAAGCAATTACTTTCAGATTGTTATCTTTTCTTTAGTACCATATGAGGACTTTCTAGTTGGTATATTGACCTTCAAAAGAAAAAGAAAAAGGTACAGTAGTTTTTTTTTTTTTCTTTTCAAATGATGGACAAAAGGCAACAAATGTACTGCACAAAAACTTTGAGGAGATTATTTGAGCATTTAGCGTGGTGATTAAAAATTCGTTGTTTTTGGCTCGAACTCACTCCAATCACTCAAACCCGACAAGATGCCAGATCAGGATGATTAACCCTAAACACTAGCCATCGATAGTTTATGCATTTTTTACCAAATACTCAACTGAGCAGGCTGTCAAACTCAGCCGAGGGTGTTTCTGAACTTAGGCATGGGACCCTAGCGAGTTAGAAACTGAACCAAGGTTTTTAAGCCCTCGTTTTGGTTTAGTGATTAAAGACAAAAACAAAAAAACGAATACTAAGAATATGGGTCGATTCGGAGCCTCATATATGCAAATCCTTCTTTTGTATAAGGAAATAGTTCTCGAGCCGAAGTATCTCTCTAGTTAAAAATGACAGGATTCTATGTTAAGCCTTCTATATTTTAAGTTGCGCGCATCACCCAAATTAAAATAAAAAATAAAAAATAAATTATATTATCATAGGGAGGGAGACATGAGCCAAAATTTCTCCAAATTATAAGGCAAACAAGTATTTAAGAATAAGAATAAAATGGTTTTAGAAAAGTCAGAAACAGGGGAAGAATGGTTAGTCCATACAACAACAAAACTCTCATGCTCACCCCAAACCAGATGTCTCTCTATATTGGCCTCTTTGTAGGTTAGCCTTTAGAAGTCAAAATTGCCACAATTTGTGCTTTTTAATCAGACATGACATGTGTTAAGCTTGGAGAGCAAGAGAAAGACCGCAAGTCAAAATTATTATATCACTCAAACTTGGATAAGAAGAAATAATTTCTTATAAGAACTCATACTCCTCACCTCATCTTACCTCTCTCTCTTTCAAGCCAAACTGAACCCTAATTTCTCTGGTTTTCATTCAAGAAGCCATGGCCAATTCCGAGGTGAAGCTTTTTGGTTTATGGGCAAGCTCCTTTTGTCACAGAGTAGAGTTAGCTCTCAAGCTCAAAGGCATAAGCTATGAATACATAGAGGAGGAGTTGAACAACAAGAGCCCTTTGCTCTTGCAACTCAACCCAATTCACAAGAAGGTCCCTGTGCTCTTGCACAGTGGCAGGCCCATAGCTGAGTCTCTCATTATCCTCGAATACATCGACGAGACGTGGCCCGAGTTGTCGGCATTGATGCCCGAAGATCCTTACGAGAGAGCCCTTGTGAGATTTTGGGCAGATTTTCTTGACAAGAAGGTAAAATATACTCCATACATTGCACCTCTCATGCACTCATAATAGTTCATGTATTTTATTTTTTTTCCTTTCTTTGGGGTGAACTATATCTTCATTCAACAAGCATACCTGAACAAGAATTTGTGTGTTTATTACTCTACAGTTTTTGGAGACGAGCGAAGAGATTCTAAGAACAGAGGGGAAAGAGCAAGAGAAAGCAGTTGCAGAGTATAGGGAGAACCTTGAGGTACTAGAAAAAGGTCTTCAAAGGGATTTTGGTACCAAAAAGCCCTTCATTAATGGAGAAACCCCTGGTTATTTGGATGTGATTTTGGCCTCGAGCTCAGGTTGGATGAAAGGTTTGGAAGAGATTGCAGGACAGAAGTTTATAGAGGAAGAGAAGGCCCCTCTTATGCACTCATTCATGTCTGCTCTCTGTGATCTTGGGGTGGTGAGGGAAACTATTCCTAGTCCTGACAACCTGTTATTGTACATAAAGAACAAGAGAGAGAAAGCCCTTGAGTCTGCCAAAAAAGAAGCATGAGATTTCTTTTTCTTTTTCTTTTTTCTTTTTTCTTTTTTCTTTTGGTTTATGCTTTGGACTAGGCGATTCAAGCAGTTGATTTGTGGAATAAATGATGGCTTGTGACCATTGATGCTACCTCTCTTTTTTTTATAAGTTTTTATTATTTTAATCCAATAAAATCCTATTTTATTAGGAATTAAAAAATATATTATTTTTTATATTTAATCTGAAATCAATTTATTTATTTATTTTTTTCAAAATTAGTAATTGGAAACTCCCGAACAATATTAGATTATTTTTGGGGATGGATGGATGGTTTGCCATCCCATTTGCCAAACTGTCTTCTTGTTGTCTTAGTATTTCAAGTAGCAGATCGGATGAAAACATAGCAAAAAAAAAAATCGTAAAGTGTTGCATCGGACCTCCTTCAAGGGTCGTCTCCCTTTGTTTCTTGTTTTTTTTATGTGCTTGTGGTTCGAGTCAGTCCCGCATTTCAAGCACTATACCGATGATGAGAAGGTGGTCCGGCACTTGCAGTTGCTAGACCAAACCATTATAAAAAAGTCATCCAGTGCTTTGAAGTGATGGACCAACTTCATAAAAAAAAAAAAAGTTTTAGGGTATATCCAGTATTTTGTATGGTGGGTAATTTGAAAAAAAAAAAATTTTAAAACTAACGAAAAAGGGCCCCAAGTAAATTGTAAAATAATAATTATAATAATTCTAAAAAAATAAAAAGGTATATTTTAAATTTCCAAAAGCATAAATATTTGGTTTTACTTTCAATAGTATGTAATATTGATTATAGAGATTGTATACTAATATCATTAACTTTTGGTGCAAGAAGATCACAATTTTTTTGTGAAATTCGACATACTAAAATGTGTCATAACGTTCAAAAAAATTTATTTGAACTTTGTATTTAATCAATGATGCATTTTCAACCACCGAAATTCACATTTAATGGTCAATAATGATTTTGATATCCTTTTATTTGAACTATTTGCCTTATCAATGTTGCTATTTTTTTTTTTTGACCATTTCCTTTGGGGCCACATGTCAAACAGGGACCAAGTGTATATCCCACTCCCACCATCACCGTTCAACCAACCATTGGATGGTGATAACCTCTGTAATTATTGTGTTTCTAAGGAATATAGCTGTTTGTATAGAGCCGAGGCTCTAAACAATCAAAGTAAAATGCACCATCAAATAGTGTTGAGAAATATGGTTTCAATCCTGGAAATCCTTGTGATAGCCTGGAAATATACTTTCATCTCTAATTACAAAATTTAAAGCTTCAAAAGTAGTGTAGATCAACTAGATATATGAAAACTTGAAAATCTTGAAGATTGACGGTCTAAAAATATGTTACAAGATATATTATTTTCAGAACTTGAAAACCATTTTTTTCTCATGTCCATGCAGCTTGATGTCGAGATGATCAATTTGAGGATATTTGGGCATCAAAACAACCTCTTCTAGAGAAATGTTTTAGGTGAGCTCTAATTTGATTGTTTAGAGCCTCGGCTCTATATAAACTTTTTCTTTATATAATTTTGTTATTCTGTTTCCTTTACTGCACCCTTGTCAAAGGAAACCGTTACATGCAGCTCCATTTACATATAAAGAATTTGTGACTGATATTTCTAGTTGTCCGATCAATGGATAATTGGGCAAGCTTTAGTCATAATGTCCTGCTTATAGATCATTTTTACAGTAAATTTGGAGTCGCACACTTCTTACAAGGGCACACCTAACAAAAAAAATAGTTTTTGATAAGACACTCTTGCAAGTTGTATGGAATTTTGGGCAGTTCTTTTCGCGAAAACACTTCTATTCATCTATGAGAAGTAGCCACTTCCTAAATTTCATGTAAAAATAATTTTTAAAATTAAAAATCAAAATAAAATACTATGAGTCAGATCGAAATACTCAAAAGGTAATAACATTATGGTTGAGGCTATCCCAGCCATTCGGTCATATTCGATGGTATAAATTGTTATCATATGTGATTGGTTCTACATGTAAAGATTTCCTATAATTAACCATCAGACTAGAAGTTGCATGGTGTACCAATAGTTATTTTGATGATTTTAATTGGATTTGTTTAACGTAACATATGTTTCATTTATCTTGTTTAAGATATGGGTGTGGTTTGTATAAGATGTCAACCTTAATCAATCAATGTAAAGTACACCTCTATATTTTACTAAAAAATATAATTTTGGTGCCGAAAACCTTTACAATAACATAATAATCTATTTATACCCCTGATTATAAAATTTAAAGTTGTAAAAATTGTGTACATCTAATATATATCCATAAACATTTAAAAACTTAAAAAATTGATGGTATGGATAATGTGTTATATGATGCACTAATTTTGGGATTTTAAATCTTCAATTTTTTTCATATTCATATATCTCGAGGTCAAGATAATCAATTGTAGGATTTTTCAATGCCTGAACTAAGTTTTTGGATGGATTTTTAAGATGCACCTCATTTCTGATATAAAATTTTTCCATTAAGATAATGCACAACATTAAATATATCTATCCAAAAAAGAGTCATTTCCCTTCTCGATACCCCTTCTTTAGACAGTGCATCCACCTTAGCGTCCCACTATGCAGGATTGACAAGACAGATTACTTAGAAATTTAGATTGGAGAAAAATCAAACCTTGACCCTTTCTTTGGTCAAGGTTTCAATTCACTTTTTGACCAATTCATTCGTTTTTTATCGACCTTCACTTGTATCCGAAATAAATTCCATCCAACTAAAAGAAATATTTGCATTCCTCATTCATTGCACCTTAGAACAAATAAAGATAAAGAATCAAGAAAGCACTCAAAAATCAAGATCTTAGGCACCTTAATGAGCAATTATAGCACCTCATATGTCATCACTTACGCAAGGAAGCAGTCATATTCGACGGACCCATCTCCCCCAAAAAACCCAAATGTTAAAATTTAAAATAAAATAATAAAGGAAAAACCCACTCCCCACCTAAACATTAGAAAAGTGCCATTTACATGGGAAAAAATCTTTCCTCAAAAGCCAAAAAAAATCCATGCTTCTATGGAAGCATAATATTTGTTTACTCCCTCAGGCTAAACCCAATTTAGAACTGCTTTTAGGACCCCAAATTTCAGGGATATAATATCTTCAACGCACAGACTAAGCTCACTGAAAAAAAATTTCCAAATCATACTCTATTTGGGGTTGAGAAAAATAATGCCTCATAATTGAATACCATCCAATTATTTGAAAGATAAAATCTAAGCATTAGAGAACTATTTGAAATAATCATCTAGTGACTCCTAGGAGGTATCCAAAATTTTAGATTGAAACAATCGTCCAAGTAGATCATATGTGCAAGAGAGTGTGCATAATATACTCCCTTGGGAGCATAGTAAACATGGTATTCTCGAAAACATTTTATCTATTTGCAAGAAAGGCTTATAAATATTCAGGTTTCTCATGTGAGTTAGCAACCCAAAGCACAACATGTACTCATGAGAGATGGAGTCTAGGGAGGTGAAGGTAATTGGGGTATGGCATAGCCCCTATAGTTGGAGAATTGAGGTGGCTCTCAAGCTCAAGGGTATAGAGTATGAATTCATAGAAGATGACTTGAGCAACAAGAGCCAACTTCTTCTGCAACTCAACCCTGTCTATAAGAAGGTCCCTGTGCTCATACACAATGGAAAGCCTATTGTTGAGTCTCTCATCATTCTTGAATACATTGATGAGACATGGCCTGAATTGCCAGCATTGATACCAAAAAATCCGCATCAGAAGGCTTGCATGCGATTTTGGGCCGACTTCTTCGATAACACAGTAATTTATAATTTGCTACTTAACATGGTTTTTTATTTATTCATTTTTATTTTATTTTTTTGAGATTATTGTGTGAAAAACAAGCTCTATTGTACATTTAACATTCTTAAAGCTTAACCAAAGTTCAGGTAACCCCAGAGATTAGCTCAACTATTTTTAGAATGGTTAATGATCCTTGTTCATATTTTTTTTATATTGACGTGAGAACAATGAAAGTCACAAACACCTCAAAACATTGGGTTTAAAATCAGATGAACAGGTTTTATACATAGTTGGAAAAAAATTCACAGAATTCAAGCATGGTCGATACCCTTGACTACCCAATTTCGTATTTTGTGAATTTTTTGTAGGATAGTTAAAAACTCACATTCTAAATTTTCTCTTATTATATCTTTCTTTGACTCTATTTATTTTTTTCAAGCCCAAGACTAAGCTCTATTGATCATTGGGGTACAAAGTCAGTCTCTCTCTCTTGTGTGACCTCATTTTTTCTTTGCATTGCCTTAGTTTCCAGAGATTGGCAGGAACATTTTGAAGACACAAGGAGAAGAACAAGAGAAGGAAGTGATAAAGTTCAAAGAGAAACTCGAAGTGGTAGAGCATGGCCTTGAAAGAGATTTTGGTGGCCAAAAGCCCTTCCTTAATGGTGAGAACCCCGGTTATTTGGAACTAGTTGTGGGTTCATGCTTGGCTTGGGTCAAAGCTCAAGAAGAGATGACAGGGGCAAAGCTGATAAGCAAAGAGGAGACCCCATTCCTTTTTTCATGGCTATCTGAGTTTTGTGAATTTGGGGTGGTGAAAGAGGCTCTGCAAAATGGCCCAGATCAAGGGAGGCGACTGGAGCATCTCAAACTCAAGAGAGAGAGGCTCTTGAAGCTTACAATGGTTTAGACTACATCTCATGTCATGCCTTTTTCTTTTGGAGAGGGGTTTTTGCCAAGTTTGGTTTACCCTATTTAAATATAATAAGCTGGAGGCATGTATTACCTTATATGTAAGGCATAATGAGCCTATGCAAACATTCACTCCTTTTCTTTTTTTTTCAGTTGTAGTTGCATTTCCTCTTTAATTTAGATTTTAGTGTGTATATATGCACCACAGAAGAGCAAAATAGATACTTGTTGGGATTTTTTTATCTAAAATTTTGTGAATCACCATATACTCATTTCCTTTTTATTTTTCCTTCCCCACTATTTCAGTCAAGATTTTTCTTCTTGGTTCTCTAGCCTTTTGCATTATTATATATTTTATTTGTTAGAAAATTTCTCCTTGTTTTTAATTTGCGGGTGTACAGATTGCATTCAAGTTCAAACCGTTACAGAAGAAGAAAAAATTGAAAATAAAATAAGAAAGGCTAGCTCTTGTCATTGCATTGCATTTAGAAATTCGATGCAGTTTTGTACAAGGCCTAAGTTTTATGGGAAAAATGTAAAGCTTCTCCTTAAAGGGTGCGGTTTGTATAGAGCCAAGGCTCAAAACAATCAAAGTAGAGCGCACCTTCAAATAGTATTGAGAAATTTGGTTTCAGAAATATTTGTGATAGTTTTAAAATATATTTTTATTTTTAATGTAAAATTTAAAGCTTCAAAAATAGTGTAGATCAAGCATATCTATGAAAATCTTAAAAATTGACGGTCTAAAATGCGTTACAAGATGCACTATCTCCAAAACTTGAAATCCATTTTTTTCTCATGTCCACGTATCTTGATGTCGAGATGATCAATTTGAGAATATTTGAGGTGGGCTCTAATTTGATTTTTTAGAGCCACGGCTCTATATAAACTTTTTCCCACCTTAAAACCTCATTTGAAAAGCATTTTGGGCAGGGGAAATCCCTATATAGCTCTAAAATCTATTTTAACTAATAATTATAAAATTTGTAGCTCAAAAATCGGTACAGATCTTGTCGATCTACAACTCTTGAAGATAGATGGTTCAGGTAATGCATTACAACATGCACAATTTTTAAAGCTTCAAAACCTTTTTTGTTATTTTCACAACCATAATGGTCAAAGTCGATATGAACGATTTGAAGGTTTTCTGATGCCAAAACTTCAATTTTTGGTTAAATTTTGAGAAGAGACTTTTACTCTCTTTTTTCCATGAAGCCTAGGCTTTATTTTAACCCTTTCCTTCAAAATTTGTTTTCAAACTTACCACTCTTAGGTTAACCAAGGAAGAGTAATGTCTGCACTCTAATCAAAACTAGTTGCTTGCCAAAATCATATAGGCAAAAAGGTTTTTTTTTTTAGGTAGATCGACCCATCATGTTGTGGTACAACCACCCTGACCACTATGCCTTGAGCACAATTAGAAGAGACCGCTATGCCTTGAGCACAATTAGGAGAAAGAGAAGCATCCATGGAAAGGGCATTAGTAGTCGTGCTTTTATCTAAAAGAAGTTGGGAATGTGGTTTTTTTATTCAAATCCGAAGATGGAAGATTATGGGTCAATTTACATAAGTCAAAAAAAGAGATGGGTAGTGCAAGAAAAATCATGTGGTAGGTGAGATGTTTGTTTATTTTTAATTTTTAAATTTTGTTGTTGGTACGTTTTTAAATAGGTTACTGTGCTATCACTATTATGGAGACAACAAAGCGGATGTCAGTATCATGAATAGATTGGAGTTTTCCATAAATTTCTCTCTACTTTACGTTGGTCAAATGCAGCAAATATGGTTAGGCTTAAGAGAGAAGAAATAACTGAGGTTATCATCATGAAAACGAAAAAAAGTTTTGCACCCAACCCACAGGAGCACTTTCTCATTTTGTTCATTCTGTTTAGGGAAAAGTTTATATAAACTTGCACCTGTAAATGTAGAATTAAGGTGCATCATAAAAATCTATGATAAATAGTTGTTTTGATGTTGGAAAACCCTCTAATTGATTATCTCGACATCGAGATGTATGAATATGAAAAGAAAAATAGATTTCGAGTTCAAAAATAGTATATTTTGCAACACATTGTCTCATGTGTTTATAGATATACTTGATTTGAACCATCTTTTGAGTTTAAAATTTTATAATTAGATATAAAAATAGATTCACGAGCCATCTGAACATTTTTTTGACACCAAAATTACATTTATGATAAAATTCGAACGTATGGCTTAATTTAATTATTTAATCTTATGCAAACCACACGCTTAGGGTAAAACTTAACTAGGAGTATTTTTAGGACTTTAACCTCTTGAACAACCTCAAAATAAGATGAACTAAAATCGGACAATGTACTTTGGCACGGGGGAGTAAGTACAGAGCATGCTCCCTTGGGATGTACACGTGGTCCATCATGAATACTTCGTCGGTATAGTCCAAAGATTCAAAGCTTCAGCAGGAGCATAGTGTTTGTTTACTCCCTCCAGTGAAACCCAATTTGGGAGTATTTTAGGACCCCCAATTTTTGTTAATGTAATGTCTTCAACTCATAGGCTAACCCCAATAAATAAATAACTAATCCAAATTGCACTCTCAATGGTATCAAAAAATAATAAATAACTAATCCAAATTGCACACTCAATGGTATCAAAAAAATAATAATGTCAAGATTGAATGAAGACCATCCAGATTTTGGAGGGTGAGATCTAAGTGATAGAGAACTCAAAATTCAATTTTTTTCTTTTAAAAATAGTCAGTGATTCTTAGCTGGTTTACAAAATTTCAAATTAAAAAAATAAAAATCCTCCAAGTAGGTATTGTCCTGAGGGAGTAAGTATGCAATATATGCTCTTGCAATGCATAGTATACATACTAGTAAATGTTATATGTTTTGTAAATGGACGTGATTTATATGGTTTCTAAGACTCATTTGTAGAAATGAGTCCCCTCTTAAAAACACATTTTTAAGATGGATTTTGAACCTAATTTTTAAGAAATGTATAATCTCTATATTGGAGGTCATGAATATGTTAAAAAAAAAATTAAAAAAAAAGGGTTAAAAATTAATAATAATAATTTTATGAAGCAAATATTTAGAAAATGGATTCTATCGTTTTTTTGGGAGGGATCATCCACTGTGCATATGTCTTTAATATGGATGGTTTATGCCTTTGAGGACAAAAAGGTAAGAATGCCTCCCCCGGCCGACGCATACAATATTTTTCCTTCGTAAATTTCCACCTTGGTCAACTAACGCACATTTAACAATTTTCCTTTGTAAATTGCCTTCAAATTTCCCACCTAAACAGGAAGGGTTATGTGTTTTGAGTCAAGATACTTATTTATTTGAAGCTAACAATGGAGTTGAGGTTTAGTTATTCAGAAGCAACCAGTAGGCAAACTCTCAAGAGTTCAATTTAGTGCTCGAGATTGCATTTGGAAGATGTCTCAGGAAATAGGACTTTACCCCCTGCACCTGGCTTCAGCCAAAGGCGATGTTGAGGCTGTGAGAGTGCTCCTGAGCTTGGACCAAAACCTTGCCTTCGTGGTGGACAAAAATGGAATGACTCCTCTTCATGTTGCAGTAACTGAAGGGAGAGTTGAGGTGGTGAAAGACATGCTCATTGCTAATCTTCAGTATACTGAAGAAGGTGAGACAGTTATACATCTCTGTGCCAGAAACAACCATTACAGAGTCTTTGAATACTTGGTGAAATTGCTACATGTGAATGTCTTTGTTAACATGAGTGACAATAACGGGAATACTGTCATGCATGTTGCTGTCAGCTGCAAACAGCTCCAGGTAAGCTTTTTACACCAATTTTCTATTAGGAGCATGATGACCAGATAACCACACATCGGCATGTAGCATGTCGATGTGCACTGAAGATAGCAAGGAGAGAAGGGGTCGTTTGTGGATGTTGATAAAAAAATCGAGAAGGTGTACGCTAAACCAAGATAACAAAATGGGAGAGTTTAGGCCATAAACCGGCTCGTAACTGGAATCGAACCTAGGACATAGTACTCCAAACGTTAACAACTAAACATGAACTACTAACCACAAAGCCTACACAAAATTCCTAGAAATGGCACCATGACCAATATGTGCGCTTTTGTGCACATAAATTGTTAAAACACCGAATGCCTGGGTGGCTAAGTGCATTTAAGAAAGCTTCTATAATGAATTATGGGATGTAAAACATGAGGTGGTGGTGCCTGTTGCACTAGGTAGCATTTGCGGAAGCAGAAATGCATGCCTTCAGTATTCAAAATACTGCAAATAAGAGCTTGTTTGCATTCTGTTCAAAAAGCGGTCCGGAGTGCCGGACACCATTTTACTCCAGCCGTCCATCACACCCAAACACTACAACCAATCCCAAAGGAATCCTAAGTCTCAGCTCTAAGCCTTTCAGAAAGTTAGGCATAACCCTTTGAAACACAGTTTTGAAATGTTTTTCTAATATATTATATTATGTATTTCCTGATCTTTTCTTGCAAACTTACGCAATCTAATGAGAGGTTCTGGAAAAGTAAATTAAGAGATCACTCTAAATTGACCAAGCTTATACTAACCAAGACTCTGTAAATCCAGTATGAGTTCGAACAATTGTAGTGACTCTTCGCTAGAAAATTTGAGTGCAAACCCATTAAACTTTGAATTATGTTTCCAAGGCACCCCTTACTGAAAAATGTTTTTCTTGAGCACCATCGACATCTCTCCAACCATCTCTTCTTGATTGCCTTTCAATTATATAATCATGATTCTTTGCATTTTGCTTTTGTAGTTTGTGAAATTTTTGGTTACAGTGAATGGAATAGATTTGTCTGCTCTGAAATATGAAGGACACAAGGCATTGGATATTATATAGAAAGCCCCATGGGATTCCAGCAACATCGAAATAATACAGACACTAAGGCATGCAGGAGGAAAGAGGAACCAAGATTTAGAGATTTCCCAAGAAGTCAATCGTTCCGAAGCTCCTTTTCCACCAAACCTTCAGAGAAGGCTTGAATCAATTGACCAACATATCCAGGACAGTTCAAAAGGGAGGGACAAGATGTCGAAAAATCAAAATAATCACTGGCCGAATACTAGCCTGAATGCAATCATGGAGCTCGCAGACAAGTCAATGAATAACCTAGGTAAGCAGTGGCTGAATAATAGCAGGAACGCGATCATGGTGGTTGCAGTACTTATCGCCACCATCACATTCCAAGCTGGGATTAGCCCTCCTCCTGGAAATAATTGGCAAAACCCCAACAGTTCCACTATGCCTCTCACGTCTCAATACTCCCCTGTATCTTCTAGTCCCTCAAAAAGTTCTGACCTTTACCAGACGAATTACCATTATTTCATGTTTTTCGATATTGCTGGGTTCTTGACTTCGCTAATTGTCCTCTTATTGCTAATGAGCTTGGTCCGCACCCAACCTCAGCTTCTTATGAGGGTGGTGGTGATTTTTATGTGGATCTCTATTGTCTCCACTGCCTTGTCTTTCTTCCATGGGGTGCGTCTATCCAGTAACCTAGATGACTTCATTTCAAGGCTAATAGCATACTCTCCCTTGTTTGTTGTCACAGGCATTGGAATTGGTTTACTACTGTGGAGTATGGAGTACATATCTCATTTTTAGAGATACATGACGATGATGGGGAGAGTATTCGTCCTCATGGCATATTTGGCATGGTTTGTAGAGTATATTGGAGTGACATATGGAACATTTAGATACAAGACCATCTTTCTCTAGTATCTTCACTGTAGTAGGAGCAATTGTTGCTATTGGTTTTAGTGTTCATGCATCTCCTGAAGTGAGGGATGCAAGGCTGAGGAGGAGAAGACGGAAATTTGATCTTGAATGTGGGAGTCTGGACCATCCAGGGGAGAACATATGCCCTGTTTTCAGTAAAGATGCAGAACGTTTCTGCTATCTTTTGAAATTTTCATTTCTTTTTTCTTTCTCCTTTGTTCTATCTACTTATTTTTTCGATTGTCAACGAATTAGCATTACATGTATGTTACAAATCTTGCCTGAGAGAGTAAATGTACAATGTGCTCCTACAAGAGCACCTTCTCATCTTTGCCCCTTTTCCTCTATTTCGAATTACAATCACAAGAACTTGTAGCCTTGGGAGTCAACAAATGAGAGTAGATTAAATCGTGTACTATGAAAAATCAGCCAAATTTCACCACATACGCAATCACTCACCTCATATTTCGATTTTCTAAAGTTAAACATCAGCCAAATTTGACAAAATCTGATCACCCCCACAATTATAAATATGCACCCCACTCGCTTCCCACCAACAAAAAAATACACAACCACTTTTTTTAAAAGTTGTTGCATCATATTACTATACAACGGTTGCATGAAATCATTGCCTAGAAAGAAACCATGACCACGGCCACCTCTGGTGAAGTGAAGATAATTGGCCGATGTGCAAACTCCTATTGTGTGAGAATTGAGGTGGCTCTCAAGCTCCAAGGCATCAGCTACGAATACATAGAAGAAGACTTGAGCAACAAGAGCCCACACCTCGTACAACTCAACCCAATTCACAAGAAGATGCATGTGCTTTTGCATAATCGAAAGATAATTTTATAATTAGTTATGAAAATAGATTTTCAGATAATCCTAATCATTTTTTAAACCAAAATTATAAAATTTGGAAGTGCACCTTAATTCGATTGTTTATAATTGCAACCTTATAGAAACCACACCCTTTCATTAATAATGGCCCTAATAGTGGTGCATCTATCCACTCATGTAAAAACACGTTAATAAAAGCATGGGACCACAAAGAGAGATACCCCAATACAAAAGGGTAAGAGAGAGAGAGCGAGATGGGGTGGACTTTCAAATCTGTATGCCGAAGAGCTAATGCAAGGCTCATCGAGCAATATCAAAAAAAAAATTACCCAATTTTATCATTGCTCAATTAATCTCTCTCTTGAGAATGGGTCGAATGGGGTCTGGATCCATTGGGATTCGGATTCGGATTCGATTCCAGACCAGAATGGATTCAAAATATTCGGATATGGATCCAAATCCAAAAAATATACATGGGATTTAGAGGATCTGGATCCGAATCCAAATAATATTTTATATAGCATATAAGTTATTTTGTATAATATTTTAATAACTGGGTCATATCCGAATCAGATCCACCTGTACGTGGTTTCAATCCAAATTTTAGATCTGAATCCCACCTGTTGGATCCAAATCTTAGATCCATACCCAGATCCGAATAGGGTCCACCATTCGAGTTTTGGATCCAAACAGTTAAATTCTCACCCCTAACGCACATATTCATGATGTAAGGAATGTTTTCTATTGCACCCTGCAGAAGTAGGGCAGCGGCAAGACCATCTTCTCCACTCAAGGTGAAGAGCAAGAGAAGGAAGTAGCAGCGCGCTCAAGGAGTTCCTCAATTTACTAGAAAATGGCCTACGAAAGGATTTTGGCAGCAAGAAACCCTTCTTTCATGTTGAAACCCCCGGTTGTCTCGAACTGGTCATCGGTTCGATCATCGGATGGTTCAAATTACTCAAACACAAAACAGGAGCAAAGGTGATAGATCAAGAGAGCACCCCATTTTTGTTCTCAAGGATAACTGATTTTTATGAATTTGGGGTAGTTAAAGAAGCACTGCCTGATGAAGCCAAGCTACTGGCCTTTGCTAAGAAAAGGAGAGATATGCCTACTTGAATTCTCCAAACATTAGTAGAAACAATAAGAAAGAATATAGAAAATGATGAGGCTTCTCTTGTTGTAAGGCTATGTATGCAGATTATTACCCAAAATAAACCCTTTTGAGTTGGTTTTAGCTGCTTGAGCAATCGGAAACTCAATCAAAGTAGTGGGAGAGATACATCGTGTATTGTCGTGTGATACTTTGGTTATCTTGGATGTCTGTTTATTATTGCTTAATAAAAGGATGTGTTTTGTACAAGGTGCCAACCTTAAGCCATCAAAGTAGGGCGCACCTCAAAAGGTCATTAAAAGATGTAGTTTGGATGGAAACACTTAAAAGTGGTCTACAAATCCATTTTCACAACTAATTCTGAAGTTTAAAACTCCATAAAGAGGCTTAGGTCGAGGAGATCTACAAATGTCTAAAACTTTTGAAAATAGACGATCTAAAAAATATGCTTTCTTTTTATTACTTAAAATTCATTATTCCTTTGGTATTCATACATCATGAGAATAAGATTATCAATTGTAGACCTTTTCAGTGTTTAAACCACCTTTTGAAGTGGACTTGTGAAGTGCATATTACTCATGCAATATGAGGTTGAAACTTTTTATAAACTTTTCCCTAAATAGAGGAAAAAATGTGTGGCTTCAAGAAGTGTTACGGCAGAGCCCAATTTGCACAACTTGATGGGCAGAGCATTAACACTGAGACAAGGATCCAATCAAGCACCATATTTTTAAAGAATCAACGCTCAAATAATTAAATTTAATTAGCTTAGTTCACATTTATGGTGATCAACGTTATAACAGGGTCATTGAACCAAGAAATGGAAACTGTTAGAAAACTTTACACTTCAACAAACTCAACTTTGTTTCGTCTTACTCGTTGCCAACTCACAACCAATGAAAGAAACCTTATTATTATTTGTTATCTCACCATAAGAAGACTTCGATCCATTCATTTTTCTGCCCCTCTATAACACAGAAAGAAACTCTGTTACTTTAGTGATACTTCTTCCCCTCATACCAAATTCCAAATATCTAATGGTTGAAGTAGATACAAGGCCACATCCAAATATCTAATGGCTACAACCCTAATGGCTACAACCCACATAGGGTTATAATGTTTTATACCATCTATTAAAACTGTAACCTATAACATTACACCATCTATTAAAACCGTACCCTATAAGTATGACGTATCAACACCCTTTAATAAAGTGCCAAATTTGGACACAATCTTAAAAGGCATCAACTGCGTCAAACTGGAATGGTCAAACTAGAATGGACAGTATAAATTACTGTAAATCTGCAACCTTATGTTTACAAGTGGCGGCCCTGTACAAACTTCTTCAATACCAAAATGACTACGAAAATGAAATTATAGTACAAACAGGTCACGTCCCAGAGACTGGATCTGGCGCAAAAAGCTACAAAACTGGTATCTATGTCGAACACTTGTAACCCTATTAAGAGTTTGTGATGCTAACTATGAACGCAGACAAATCTTTCCATTGCTTTCAAGGGACATCTAAATCTTACCAAACCTAAAACTGCTACTTTTTTAGGGAAATGTAGAAGCCATTACAACATAATTGGGAAGTAATGAAAGCCCTCAAATAAATTATAACAGGATAGAAAAGCAACACTACAAAAATTCCAGACAGCATTACAAGAAAATTTCTGATAGTATTAAAAGGAAATGAGAGAGCCAAACAGACATGCAAATAGGAAACTACTGAAAACTTAAACCTTACAGTTCCTTTCACAAAGAAATCACTAACTGATATTGCTGGAGAAACACCAGAAAAGGGACAGGATGGAACAAATAATAAGAAACCAACAAGATTGAAAAGAGGAATTGTCGCCAAGTACACAGCCGATACAGTCTTTTATCATGAGCTTCATTTAACTGTAATCCAAAATTTGTTTCGCGTACAGAGCACACGGAAGCTTTTCGTACTTAACTCTTGGCAGCCTGCTTTTCTTTGGCCTTCTGGATTTTCAAAACCTTCTTGACAATCTTTTGCTCCTCCACCAAAAAGGCCCGAATGATCCTAAACCAAAATTAAATGAAAATATTGATATCCATCTTTTAAATGAGAAGTAGAAGGTGCCCCCAGGCTATATTTATTTGACTATGGTTTATATTTGGAAATTCTTTTCATGGAAAAACACCGAAGGATAAAAAGAAAATGAATGAAAAAACAGAACATAAAATTAATGAAATAAACTGTAAAATCTTAGTTTCCTATATTTTCAAAAATTTAAGCTTTTCCTAATTCAGTCTTATATAGTTCCAAAAACAATCAGATGTAGGGCAAATTTCGACTCGCTCTATAAATGATGAAAGGAAAAATAAAATACACAAAGCAAAAATGAAATACATCAAGAATGAAATTTCAAAGTCTTTAAAACAAGTGCCCCATGCAACAATTCATGAAATTATTATGATCGACATTTGATTTCAGAGTAATTTAGAGATAATAATGAAAAGACTTGGGTATATACATGTGAAGAGAGATGTCATATACCTTTCACGAACAGCACCACCAGACAAAACCCCCCCATAAGCACGATTCACAGTCCTCCGGTTCCTTGACAGCCTAGTCCTCTTATATTCAGTAGGTCTCAGATGAGGAATCTGTCAAACAAAAACACCAATAAATTAACTATCATTTCACAACGACCTTCCCCAAACCAAAGGGTAAGAAAAAGACGTTATAGCACAACATCCACTTCACCAATTCAGTAAAGAGACATTCAAGACTGATATAAAGGTTATTAATCAGAGTACTAAGAAGTAGGGGCCATTTTTTATTGAGAATACAAGCAAGGAAGACAATAAGTAATAATAAAAAGTAAAAACAAATATTGAATGGTCAAAGACTTTATCATTTTGAAGAACTTACATAATTCATACATTATTTCATTCACATCGATAGAACAACTAGATAACATGATAATGAAATCCACCATCATGGCATATTCAAGTCAATAAACCACCAAAGTTCAGTATCATGTTGAAACCGAGTCAAAAGAGGAACCATGATATTTATGCAACACTTTGATGCAGTAGTAGCGTACATATCAGCATGTCTTTTAGGTCACAGATGGGGACGGATCACCTCAAGCTTAAAAAAGGAATACACAAAGGGCATATCTTAGAAGACAAATTGCAGTTGAGTACCTTATCAATATACCCAAAAAGCCTATGACGTGTATTACTCACCATCAATCCATGCATATTACAGGCAATTGCACAGTTATTATTCATGAACGACCAACTATATGACCCTTTGAACCCTTCAAAATAGATAGTCACATGGACACATGCACACACACAAGCCCATGCACACGCGTACACACAATCATTAATTACAGGGCTTTTTAAGATAAAAACATGTGAGATATTTTTTAATAGTTTGGAAATCTAGGAATATGGGTTATGACTTAAGTATGCCCCTGCCCATGTGATCATTTAAACGCAGCAAGTGACAAAATTACCCCATTATCCAATAAAAAACCCACAACCCCACTCTCTCCCTATCCAATGAAATTACGATCTCTCTAAATACTCTCGCTAAGTACCCAAATGAATTCTCTTGTTCTAAATCCAATTTGATTAGAGTGTGTGGTTTCTTTCCACATAGGCAGACATTCAGAATGCAAGTGTGTGACAAAGTTAAAGTTAAGAGAAACAGAACAGATCTAGAAAGAGGAGGGACACTGTGGTTGTGGAGAGAGAGGGGGAGAGAGGTAGAGATAGGGAGTAAAGAATGCATTCATATATTTAGAGAGATATTCAGAATGCCCACCACTTTCAGAAGCATGCCACGCCCATATTCTTCAATCCAACAAAACCATTATCATCTTTCAAAAAATAAAGTCCCCTCAATCTCACCAAACAATCAATCAACATCTGACTATTCCCATTCAAGAAAACACCATCAAATGTCTGCAGCTTAGGCAACACCACCTTAATAGATGCTGAATTCAGTGCAACCACCACCAAAACCAGTAAGAAAGCTCAATAATCTCAGCAAGCAGCCATCCAACCTTGATCATTCCATTCCACAAAAATGTAATTATACCTCTCCATCTCGTCGGCACCCAGGAAACTTGTCGGCAATTTCCCAAAAATCACCACCAAAATAAGAGGACTGCCAAACTTGTTCACCATTTCCATAATCTGCAGTCAGAAATAGCAGCATGGACCTGCAGGAATTCCATCCAAATCTCAATGGAGTACCAAAACCTCTACAAATGGGGTTTATTTGGCTCATCCCTAACATCTTCACCCATGACACCTCTCCAGATTTCAGAACAAATCCTCTCTAAGATAAAAGTCCAGATGTTTCAGGGCCCAAGTCTTCGCTCTCATCTCTTTCCCTCTTGCTCTAATCGTTGTGGCTTTAAAGTTCAATAGAAAACAGTGACAAATTGATGGGCTGGAAGGGGGACATATTTAGTTCATTTCCCATTTTAAATGACCACGTGGCACAAGGATGCCCGAAGCAAAATTGAAAGTTTCACATGTCCAAAGTATTTTTCACAAATCTTTTCTCTTAAAAAGCCCTCAAATAAATACACATTTCAAGTTCTCAGAGAAGTACAGTAGCATTTCAAATGTAATCATCATGAAATTTTATTCGTGCAAATACCCTTACACTTTAGTTAAAATTTCAAATGTGTCAGTATGAAGATGACATACGCACCCAATGTCCTCTACTGATATTTACACATGTACCCTTACTCAATAACCAAGCCACCCATAAAAAAAACTTTTAAGTAAAAAAATAACACATCAAGTAAATACACCCTACACAAGCTATTATAACCACAACCTTTGTATTTTGAAATCTTAAGTTTAGTTTATCCTTATAATCTACACTTAACACAACACTTTAAAATACAAAGGTTAAGATTAGAATGGGGTTGTGAATAGTGCATTTAATAAAAGAAGTCACCACCTTTTAGTAAAAACATGTTTTACATGAGTAGCTTGCTCATATATAAGGGCATATGTGTAATTATCACTAAAAGGCAAGGGGTACCTTTACAAATTTAACAAGGACAAAGCTGAAATTTTCACCAAATCCAATGGCTTTCACACTAATCAAGTTTCAAGACAATTACTTTGAAGATACCAACCTACTTTTGTGGAAATATCAAATGTATCCTTATCTATAAAGGGCACATATTTACCCAAAAAATAGATTACAATTCATAATACATACATCATAATCCATCCCCAACCATATCCTTTGTATTTTGTGCAGTTCTGAACTATCGACAAATCCCTCATAAGGGTTTTAAATGAATGTGGTACCGGCATTCAAATATGATTCCTAATACAAAAATTTAATTTCTGCAAATATATGGCAATTTCAAATAGATAACATCACATTATGCAACTAATTTCTGCAAATATATTAGTTAGACATGGTACATCACATTATGCAACAATAGATTACAATGGCGACACCATTGACTTCAGGACAGTTAGTAGTACTGTACTTTGAGGCAACAAAAAGAGTTGGGTGAAATTAATCCCTATCTCTATAAACTAAACGGTAACCCAATTAGTGTTCCAAACCCATAGATTTGAACACACTACCCTAATACAATATTGAAATCCGGTAAGCCATATGAATATCTCCAAGTAGCATCTTTCACTATGTCCTTCAATATTATCAGAAGCTTCAAATATAAGTTGGAAAATATTTTAACTAATAGTTCCCTTTCGACATTTAAAATTTGACGAGATTATAATAATTAACTAAAAAAAAGAGACCATCAAGTCTTACGTAGCCACCAAAAAGAGTGGGGGGGCACCTAAAGTCTTATATTAATTACTCATATAAGCAAAATGGTTATCATAAATTCCGTTCCACAAATATGGCAAACGTTACCTTCACCAGCCATACATTCTCAGGTTCAATCATGCTACTGCACGACCAGAAAAAGCAGTCTCCATACACAAGTCAACTTAAGTACCTTTGATCCAAAAATAACCTTACAGATAATTGTTTTGTATTACAAGAAAATCCATTAAACAATCAAACCCACTACCCATTGTGTATATATAAATGCAATGTCTAAGACATGGTAGTGGTACAGAAAAGTTCACCACAAGCATCAGATGATTCTATCACTGAACAATATTTCATTCATGAAAAGTACTGTGCAGAAGAATCAAAAGCATCGCAATATTTCATAATAGGTTTCAATAGATGAACAAATATAACAGCTTTTACTAGATGAAATATCTTTCAATCAATGAACCCATATAGTTATCCGTATGCAACACTAATAATCTAGATTGAAAAACATAAACAGTAATTAATTCCATACCCCTTGGATTCTTTTGCCTGTGACTGGGCATTTTGGCCCACTTGCCCTCTTTTTAGCAGTCTGATACACGAGCTTTCCACCTGCACTCAATCCAAAGGAAAAATGATTCAGAGAGAATCCATATATTCTAAAAAAAATCTCCAATAAAACCGGATAGGCCAGTAATAAAATTAAACAATCAAAGGATCCAGGTCAGAACTTAGAGGATAAAAAGAAACAATACAGCATTAAACCAAAAGAAAATCATCGACTTAAAATGTTTACTAATTTTAAATCAGAATAAGACAAAAAAAGACAAAGAAAGAGATGAAAACAAATAATGCATTCTTTTGGTTGGAGACTAAAAATTCAGAAAAAAAAAAAGACTCAGCAACAGATGCCATTTGTAGAACTCCAGTTTAAGCGATCTGAGGAAGTAGAAAATGCAACACAACAAAACCCAATAAACAGAACTTCAATGAAAGCTGCAATTCTCAGAACAAAACAAATGGCAGAATGAACATAAGTAGATTAGACAAAACCCTAAAATGGTAATACGCTATGATAACATGTCTCGGTGTATGCCACGAGCACCGGAAAGAACCAGGATTTGATAGAGAAAAACTAGGGCTTTGGAATTAGAGCTGAAGGGAGAGAAACTAATGTTTTTTTGCAGAGTACCTGGGGTTTTGACGACCCTGGTCTGGTTCGATTTGGTCGCGTAGCTATGGCGCGTGCGATAGGTGAGCCGCTGCACCATGTTTCCTCTCTCTCTAAACCTTCTCTCTCTTCCTCTCCAGAGAGCAACCCCGAAGTGAAACAAGAGGGTTTATCTTCCGCTCCAACAGAGCAACGGACTTCTATAAAGGAGGGGACGAGCCTGAAAACCCTAGATCCGGAGGAAGAGTTTGATCCAACGGTCGGGATTGATTTTGATTCGATAGCGTGAATAGTCAGATCTGCGTTCTGTTTTTATATAATATCAAAAATACCCTTTGGCATTTTTATATCGAATGAGTTTTTATGAGTTGCGACCTATACTTTAGTACCTCAAAAATCTAATAGAAAATGAGTATTTAGAAGCCAAAAAAACCTTCCAATTAATTTTTTAGGCCTTAAAATGTATGAATATAAAGAAAAAGATTTTTAAATCTTTAAAATAATAGATCTTATAACAAGTTATATGTAGTGTCTATTTTTTAGATTTTCAAGAGTTTATAGATCTATTTTATTTCAATTTTTTAAAAAATTTCATAATTAGTGACCGTCAAGTTTTTGGCACTCAAACTAAATCTTTAAAAGTGCACCTTATACAAACTTTACCTCTTTTTAATATTGGAAGTCGCGGTAAGAGTGACCTTGTTTTCAAAGGAACTAAGTAGGATTATTAGTCAAGTCAATCGACCCATGGACCCAATGGTTTGATTGGCCCAACTCATGTTTCGGTATGCTTCCAGCTTCTTGACCCAGCAAGTCAGATCTAACTTTATAAAATGGGCTTGATAGTCGGTAATGTCCGGATCTGATTCAAAACGAAACTTGACGTGATCGGGTCTAAACGAACCCCCCTAGGATTTGTTTATGAAGCTCGGCTTATACTTAAGATATCATTTTGCAGCCGGTTGGCTCATAGAATAATCTTCGTGTTTATTTACTCTGAATCTTGAATTTAGTAGTGAACCAGTAGCCATTATAACTTTCTCTTTGAGTTCTAGTCAGTAGTTTTCAATTTATTAATTCAATATTGTGTTTTGCAATTGTAAATTGGTTATTCATTGATGAAAACTAAAAATCATTTTCTAGACAAACCATTAAAAAAGGATGCCAAAAGATGTATTGTTCCTGCGGGAGCATACTGTCCATTTGCTACTTTTGGTACGATACCTAAACAAATAGTCTTCTGAACCCCAAATTTCAGGGATGTAAAACTTAGGATCAGGCTCAAAAACAAAAAAAATTCAAATCTCATTCTCTATATGCTTGAAAAAATTGTCTTTATAAAATTAAACAGGGGTCATCTAAACTTTGGCGGGCGTGAACTCAAAATTCAATTTTCTCTTTCTATCATCTAGTCTACCTTAGGTGGATCACAAAATTTTAGATGAGAAAAATCATCCCAAGTTGCTCTTTTGTATGAGGGCTTTAATATGCAGCGATGCTCCCGCAAAAAATAGCCATCTGCCTTGAAGAAACTAACAACCATGCACTGCATTGGTTGCGGATCGGTACCATTTCTAGAGCTTTGAAGCTCACACTGAGTTAAAAATGGCAGCCATCACAAGATTTGTCGGTGTTGCATCTATGTTTGCTTACAGGGTTTTGAGTCAGGGCGTTACGAAATTTTGTAAAGTTGCGGATATACCAAGACCCCAACCTTAGTAATCTTCCAGTTATACGGTCTTTACATATTTGGACATAGTGGATTGATATTTAAACATGTCCTCAATGTATTTTTCCACAATAATCCAATCAAATGCTTGTAGTTTAAACCATATCTGCTGCATATACTCACATACTATGCCATCAATAGCATCCTCACACAAATTTGAAAAAAAAAAAAAATATTGGGCAAAACCATTAAGGTGGTATCAACACATCAGACACAATGAGATCTAATTAGAAATAACCATGGACTGCTAGAGATGGTTATTTGCATTTTATTTGCATAGAGATGGTTATTTACATGATATTATTTTTTCTAGCATGGAAATAGAAGAAACGAGGGTTCCCTATAGACCTTTCTATCCTTGAGATGGATCCTATCTAGTTTCTTTTGGCACCAAACAAGTTCATCAGTTGTTAATTTGGACATCTTTAACACCCTAGATACCAATTTCATGTCTATTTGAGAAAACAATATGGTTTGATTTGAGCCATCATCTTGCTTGTGGTTGAACTTCTTGATCAAGCAAGTTCCACTCCTTTGCAAGTCTCTTATTCTCCTCTCTTTCTGCCAAAGAAAAAAAGAAATAACAATAAAAATAAAAATAGTGGAAAAGATAAAAATTACAATCAGTAATAAGAGCAAAGCACAGATAAAGTAAAGCATAAATGGACAGGTGAACTTTTGTGGCAAAGTGATTTTAGGCCCTGTGTGGACATACCAACCATAGTCTGGATGTTATAGACCCATCTCTACTGTCCCCTGCGACGAGAGATGGTGAAGATGAGCCTTTTACCATATACTGTCCCCACTCAATGCATTTAGTTTGGTTTCACGATCGCTTGTTTCTGTACATTCTCGTACTTTCAATTTACAAAAAAAAAAGGAGGTTTTCAACATTTTAATGTTATCGATAATAGCAGGTGATTCTTTGGTAAACGGGCCAACAGGAGTAGGGTATAGCGGGAGCCGACCAGACTCTATTTTTTGGCTTTTGAGTGAGCTAACAGCATTTCATGCTGGAGTCACTAGAAGTAGTCAGTCCAAACAGGCCCTCATTAGTCCATAAAAGTCTATGACATTCTCAAGTAATGAGAAAATGTAAACACTTTAGAAGAAAGTTAGGTGTATCGTCTATCTAAGAAAACCACCGATGTAGATCCTAAGGTGTATCATCTATCTAAAAAAACCAACGATGCAGATCCCAAAGTCAAGAGGCAAATAATATTGGGGGAGCAATCGTGATCAATGATTGGTATTCCTGTAAATTTGTTGACACGCAACTACACGAAATTTGTTTTTTTTTTGTTTTTGTTTTTGTTTTTGTTTTTTTATAAAAGGAGGGAAATCCATTTAGAAGTGGTCCATCCAAACAAGGTCCTTATTAGTTTGTGAAAGACTACATTCCTATAAAGTGAGATAAACACTCCAAGAGGAAGTTAGGTCTATCATTTTCCTTGTATCTGGTAGAAATCCAAGTAGAACAACCACTTAAAAGCCAAAAATTATAGAATTGCACACGGTAAGACTACTAATTTTTTATACAAAAATGTCACAATCATCACACGAGCAATCCAGTAGTCAAAGGTCTCTTGTTTTTCTACATAGAGCTTAAAAAATTTCTTTTAGACTTTGAGTGCAGTCATTGCCACACATCTCTACATGTGATTGCTAAGGTGGTTGTGACCAGTGTTATAGAGAGCACCAAACTGGTTAAACTCAAACTATCTACAAAAGCCTTGGCAGATCTCATCCAAAGCAAAAAATAGAAGCCTTGGTAAATATGATCCAAAGTAAGAATCATATTTAGTTTAAATGAATCAAAACCAACATTTAACTTTTTTTTGCCGGTTGGAACAATCATTTGTTGGCTGATTGGACTCGCCAAACAACATTTGGCAACTCTTTTGTAATAGGGAAAGTGTACAATGAGACCATATATATTTAGTACAAGGTGATCACAATTAATCATGACCATTGGATGTGAAATTGGGTGGTTGTATTTATTTAATTGACCAAACTCAAAGTTCAAAATAAAATTTTTCGAACTTTGTGGCACACCCATGCTATCAAATTTCACATCAAATGGTAGTAAGTAATTGTGACCTTCATGTACCAATAACAAATGGTCTCATTGTATACAATCTCATTGCAATATATCCTATAAATAAATATCCCATAGTTATTTAAATGTTCAATCAAACTAGTTTGATTAACATTCGGATCGGTTTTGATTGGACCAAACCCTAATTTCAGCATATAGTTAGATTCTGCTTTTTTTTAATAAAAATAGATTGTCTTATTATGTATTATGTTTTATAAAATATAAACAATGCCGACAATCACGTCGAATGATGGGCATTTTTGTAATTTTGTCCCCCGCACACTTGTTTTCTAAGAAAATGAGGAAAGTACCTTTGCAAGAGTGGCTTGTATTTGTGTGAAGAGTTCGGCATCTGTGGGGTCATGAAACTCAATCTGTGGACGCAAGAAGCCTTTCAAAACAGTAGGAGCATCCTCTCTATCTGACCTGACAAATTCCGAAAATACCCTTAAGGATTCCTCCATTATCTCAACTAACCTTGTTGATGTGATCTTGTTTTCATTGCTTGTTCTCTCTCTCTCTTGGGATTCACCCTCTGCAAAATCCATCACACACAATCCACATGTTGTTTATTAAACCAATTCATGATTCACAATGAAAAAAGTTAGGAAGTTATTTGCATTTAGAAATAAAACTTTGATGGGGTTAAAAGATACAAAATACAGATTAGAGACTTCGAATGAAGGCCTTCTCAATCATAATTTCTAAACAAATGGAAAAGGGATATAAACTGGGGAGGTTGGGAAAATTAAAAAATAAAAGAATAATCTTGGAAATTTTGGAGTATCTTTTATTAATTTAAAATGATATGTATTTAGTCTTAGATAACCTAACCAACCAAACAAGAAAGAAGACAAAATAAGGTGGTATTCTTAGTTATCAAATCAAGGAAAAATGTTCTACTGGGCCATGGCCTAAACATTGCCTTAGGGGGATTTGTTTAGCCCCAAATTTATCTCTAATATTTGATCAAATAAAATGATGAGAAAGTTATAAATAAGAGATTTGATCCAATGCAACGGTTGATGAGAAAGTTATAAATAAGAGCAATGATCCAATGCAACGATTGTATCATAGTATAATGCAACGACACTTCTAGAAAACCATGTTTGTGGTTTTTGTATGACCCCAAATTTTACACATACACTCTCTTCATCTCAATAATCAACCCCCCAA